TGAGTGTGAGATACCACCATGTGAATTGTTTAGCCAGGAAGCCCAAGAGGTATCCAAAAAGCTTACAAATTTCTAACACTCCTCTTGGAAGCTCACCAGAGCTAGGGTTATTTATTTTATTTTTATTTACTTATTTATTTGGGTGTTTTGTCTATGTGTACGTCTGCACACAAGAAGAGGGCATCAGTTCCATGAGACTATAGTTGTAGATATTAGAGAGCTGACATATCAGTGCTGGGAATTGAACCCAGGACATCTGAGACACATCACTAGGCTATACAGTCTGTGTTTAGGAGTTGCAGAAGGCACTGAGCAGGCTGCTGAGAGAGATAACATCAATAATCTTATCCACCTGTGAATACCAGCAATCCCGTGACCCAGACATATCTAGGTCTATGGTCCAGTATTTTGATTTAAGAGCTTATCATGTCCAAGAGTTTCCTGCTGGATCTTTTTACTGTTAAAGTTTGTTTTGTTTTTGTTTGCTTGTTTGTTTGTTTGTTTGTTTTTTAAACAAGGTCTTCTAAGTAGCCCTAGCTGTCCTGGAACTCAAATATAGACCAGGTTGATGACAGACTCAGAGATCTGCCTGTTTTTGCTGGAATAAAAGGCATATACCACCCCCTCCCAGTGGAGTCACTTTTTAAAGGTTAATTTGTGTGTATTTTTGTGTGTCCTGAATCTGGACGTGAAGACCTGGTTCCACCACAGTGCCTCCTTCAACTTTATGGACATCCTACCCTGAAACATAAACCAGACAATATAAATCTCAAGTTCCCTATGTTGCATATATTAAAAATTCTGTCACATTGATGAGAAAGATAATTAATACAGCTCTCATAACTATCAGCCTTCCTCTAGAACTGTGGCTATTATATCCCAAAAGTGTCTTGATATTTTCTATTTTCTTTTTCTGTACTGTTTATTAAAGACAGGATTTCTCTATCTACTCCTGGCTGTCTCAAAATTCTACATAGGTTAGCAAGCTGGCCTTGAACCCACAGAGATCTGCCTGCCTCTGCCTGCCAAGTGCTGGAGTTAAAAGCTTAAGCCATATCTCTCTGTAGTAAGTAAGATTTTCATTTCCATTGGATATTAAGAATTTATAAAATTTCCTCCTGTCTCCTTTAATGATCCACTGATAACTCAAGAGAAGTGTCCAATTGTCTTTTCTTTGTATAGTTTCTAGATCTTTTTCTATTCTTTTTCCTTCTTTTTGCTTTCACTTTCCTCCTCTTCCTCCTCCTCCCCTCCTCCTCCTCCTCCCCTTCTCCTCCTCCTCCTCCTCTCCTCCTCATTCTCCTCCTCCTCCTCCTCCTCCTCCTCCTCCTCCTCCTCCTCCTCCTCTTCTTCTTCTTCTTCTTCTTCTTCTTCTTCTTTTATGTGAGTGCAAGGGAGAAAGGTTTTTTCTGTATAGTCTTGGCTGTCTTGGAACTCTATCAGGCTGCCCTCAAACTCACACAGATCACCCTGCCTCTGCCTCCCGAGTGCAGAGATTAAAAGCATGTGCCTACCCCACTGGGAAATTTCTAGATTTTCATTTGCTATTGACATTTTGCTTTATTTCCCTGTAACATGAGTAGATAGAAGAGATAGTTTTGAACGTTTTGTATTTGTTAAGAAATTATTTATAGCCTACAATGTGATATCTTATAGAAAACACTCCATGAGTTACTGAGAGTATGTCATCAATAGCTCTTGCTTGCAGTATTCTTTGTTTTAATATGTATGAGTATTTGCATACATGTCTATCTGTGTACCACCCATGCGTAGTGCCCACAGAGGTCAGTAGAGTGTTTTGGACTTCCTTGGAATTTGAAATACAGACCATTGTTAGTTGCCATGTGGGTACTGGGAACTGAACCCAGGTCCCCTGGAAGACTTTAACCGCTGAGTGATCTCTCCAGCCCATTTTCAATAGTCTGGAGATCTCTTGCAATTTAATCCTTCACTTTTGTTGATTTTTTTTTTAAATCTAGGTGGCTAATCATCTGATGACGGTGAGGTATTAAAGTCACCTAATATTAACATATCTGGGTGTGTTAATTATATGTTCATGTCTAGCTATGTTTATTTTAGAAAATCTAGTACCCTAATTGCTACATATATACTTACTACTTCAAATTCTTTAACAGACTGTTCCTCTTATTAATATGTTGTAGCATGATCTATCTAATCCAATCTTAGGGAGAGTATGCCTTACCAGATTAAGCCTAATTGCTCAGTTAGTTTTCGCCATCCATGTGCTTTGTATATTGTCTTACATCTTTTCTCTTCAGCCTCTTTGCCAGTGATCTCATTTATTGAGGACAAAAATGAGTGAGCCCTTACTTTCAACCCAAGCAATTGGCCTTTGGTTTATAACTAAAGAGCTCAGATGATTAGCAGATGGATTAGTTACCCGGGACTATTTGTTGATTCTGGTAATTTTGCTGGTGGTTTATGTTTGTTTGTTTGGTTTGTTCATTTCTTTCTCCTCTCATTTCGTTATTGGGACTTGCTGTGGAGTTGGACATGATTGACTCTTTTCTGGTTCTCTTTTATTCTTGAATTCTTCTTTCTTACACACTCATGATTGAGAATGCCTTTCTTGCCAAGTGGGAGCATCTGGTCTCATGCCTTTAATCCCAGCACTAGGGAGGCAGAAGCAGGCAGTTCAAGGCCAGCCTGATCTACAAAGCAAGTTGTAGGACAGCCAGGGTTACACAAAGAAACCCTATCTCAAAAACACATTTTAAAAAGAATTCCTTTTTTCAAACAGCATATACATGCATGGCTGTAATCCTAGAATTTGGGATTCTCCTTATAGTATGTATGAATATGACTATATCTTCATGGTTAGAGAGTCCTCACCTCTTTAGAGAAGAGACCTTAAATCGGCAGGTTGACAGAAATGTTTAAGCTTGAGAAATCAAAGGTTATGTTGGCACTCCTGTAATCTCAGTTCTCAAGAGATTGAGGGAGGAGAATCAAAGGTCTGATGGCATCCTAGCTAGGATCAGGAGTGAGAGCCTATCAAAAAATAAAAAGGGAAAAACAAAACCCATAGACTTTGACACTTTTCACAGAAATACAAAAAACTTTCAAAACAGTAAAAGATAAAGTCTTTTTGTATGGTTGGTTGGTTTTAGGTTTCTTGTTTTGTTTTTTTTTTTTGTTTTTTTTGAGACAGGTTCATACTACTTAACATTAGAATTCACTATGCAGACCAGGCTGCATTTGAACTCACAGATCCACCTGTCTCTACCTCCTGAGTGCTGGGATGGAAGGTGCCCCACCCAATGTGGGCCTCCTGACTCAGAAATCTTTTTAAATGTTTCATTTGTTTGTTTATACATACAAAACAGCACACACCCCCTATAAAAGGAAAAATTAAAATAAGCACAAAAATATAGGTGTCTGGTGTGCTGGCTGTATGAAGTGAGGACATGTCCACTCTAGGTATGGCTGAAGGGAAGGACTTTATTGTAGATATGAAGGATAATATAGCCAGAGGCATCAGGAAGACTACAGAGCAGAAGAGAAGGTAATAGAATAAACATGACCAGCAGAGAGAGAGGAAAAGAGGAGAGAGGGAAGGAGAGAGAGAGAGAGAGAGAGAGAGAGAGAGAGAGAGAGAGAGAGAGAACGAACCAAGAGCCAAGAGAACACATGGCTGAGACAGGAGAGTTATATGGAAATCAGAAGCTGGGGGAAGGGTAAACCAGGAGCAGGGTAAGTTTAGGGTAGGGATAGGGTGAAGAGGGCTAAGAGGAGCCAGGATACCAGCAATGGTTGTTACAGGCACTAGAAATGCTAAGAAAGTCCAGAGACCATTATGTACTTTGGTATGCTAACAGGCACCACAAGTAGTCATTTGTCACCAGTTTCTTTTGATCCCCCAGAGTGGCACTCAGAACCCAGAATAAGTTAGGTCTCTTGAGTTCTAGGACAATCTGATCTACAGAGTTCCAAGCTAGTCAAACCAACACAGTAAGACTGTGTCTAAACAAACAAAGAAAACATAGATACAGGGTCAGAAAAATGGCTCACTGGCTAACAGCACTTACTGTTCTTGCAGGTAACTTTGGTTCAATTCCCAGCATCCACTTAAAGGTTTACAAGGATCTGGAACTCCAGTTCCAGTGACTTCAGCTCTCTAATGGGAACAGACACAATCAGCACACATAACACAAACTTCCAAAAGTAAATAAATTTCTACAATAATATATGTAGATAATGTAAAATTAAAGCCACAATTATATGCTACTATATATTTGTGTGTGTGTGTGTGTGTGTGTGTGTGTGTTTGATTTGTTTAAGTATTGTTTTCTTTTTTTTTTTTCTTGAGATAGTTTATCTCTATGTAGTCCTGGCTATCCTGGAACTCAATATGTATAGACCATAATGACCTTGAACTCACAGACCTCTGGCTGCCTCTAACTCCTGAGTGCTGGGATTAAAGGCCTGTGCCATCACGCCCAACCCAATACAGTTACTAAAATTGTTAAAGTGAACACCTCATGACTTGGAAGAATATCAGGATGTGAAAAACTGGCATCTGATATGCTGCAGGAGGAAACCTGAAACACAGCCTTTTAGAACAAAATCTGGTAACTTCTTAAAATCGTAAAATATGGGCTCCAGAGAGGGCTCAGAGTATAAGTCTACACGCTGCTCTTGCAGAGGACCTGGGTTCCATTTCCAGCAAACAGACTGGTTCATACCCATCTGTAATTCCTCTTCCAGGAACCCAGTGCCTTTTGGGGGGCCTCACAGGCATCAGTTATGCACTTAGTATTCATACATATGTATAGCCTAAATACTCACACATGAAACAAACAACAAACACCTGAAACATATGGACTGTCCTCCTATGTAAGAGCAAAAGGTGCTACACAGAGCTGGTCCCCAACAAAAGTAGTGACACTTAGGAACCAATAGTCATGAAGATTTTACAGTAAGTGATCACTTATCCCAGGGACTGCAATAGTCAGTGAGGGGAAACAAAAGGCAACCAATAGAAGAAACAACAAAAATATGTCTTATTTAAACTGAGGTCACTCTTCCTCCCCCATTCAAACTCAGTAACATGGAGACTCCACCCCAAACAGGTGCAGTCAGGAACACGGCTTCGTCTTGCTAAGTCCCCAGAGAGCATTAACTTCTTAGGAATAAGAAGATGGCAAGGATCCTCATCTTGCCTCTGTGCTCTTCTTTGATGAGTAACTTTCAATGACTTGGCTCCTTCACGAAGGCCACTCTCAGGACTTGTGCTCAAAGTCACCCCTAAGGCTCAACAAGCTTGGTCAATGGCTGAAGCTTTCTCTATGTTCTCTGCATTCACAGACCTATCTGGGTTGTGTCTACGTTGTCAATAAGAGCAGACCTTTACTCAAAGGCCTCCCTAGAATCACGATGCATCTCTGCACTGTGGCCTCTTAGGTTAAATATGACGAAAGTGTGGGTGAAGGCTCTCCGTATTTGAAGCACTCTTGACTTTTGTCCAGTGAATATCTTCTTGTGTTAGATAAGATAGATCATGGAAACGATTTCTCATATCCATTGCATTCAATACATATATTCTATCCAGAGTAGACCTAGTCCTGTAGCTAAACACTTCGCCGCATTCTTTGAACCCATGATGCTTTGCTCCATAAAATCCCTGATGTGAAATGAGGCTGCATACCACACACCTTACACGTAAAAGCCTTTCCTCTACTACGAACTCGTTCATCTTTCATGAGATGAGTTTTGTTTTGTTTTGTTTTTAACACTTCCCAGATTCACAACATTCAAAAGGCCTTTCCCCTGTATGAGCTTGGACATGATAAACAAGTCTGGATTTTCTTTTTTTATTTTTCAATGATTTAATGCATTCGCTGCATGTCTTAGTTACGGTTTCCATTGCTTTGAAAAGACACCATTAGCAAGGCAGCTCTTATAAAGGACACCGTTTCATTGGGGCTGGCTTACAGTTTCAGAAGTTCAGTCCATTATCATCACGGCGGGAACCATGGCAGCGTGCAGGCAGACATGATGCTGGAGGAGCGGAGGTTCTATGTCCTGATCCGAAGGCAGTCAGGAAGAGACCCCCCACCCCCCACCCCCGGCACTGGGTGCTGCTTGATCGATGGACCTCAAAACCCATCCCCACAGCGACACATTTTCTCCAACAAGGCCACACCTATTCTAACAAGGCCACATCTCCTAATAGTGTCACTCCCTATGAGTCTATGGCGCCAAACCTATTGAAACCCCTACACTGTACTTCTACGGCTTTTCTCCAGTATGAACCCGATAATGATACAAAAGGCTGGATCTGTTCATGTATGACTTGCCACACTCAGTGCATGTAAAAGGCGTCTCTCCTGTGTGAACTCGCTGATGAGCAACAAGGAAGCAGTTGTGCTTGAAGGTTTTGCCACACTCACTGCACCTGAAAGGCTTCTCGCCGGTGTGAACTCTGAAATGCTTAACGAGAAAGGCTTTTTGGCTGAAGGACTTTCCGCACTCGCTGCACTGAAAAGGCCTTTCCCGAGTGTGCACTCGGGCATGATAAATGAGGCTGGATTTCTCCTTAAATGCTTTGCCACATTCACTGCAGCTGTAGGGCTTCTCCGCAGCATGAACTTGAAAGTGACGCGTAAGATTGGATCTGGTCATGTATGATTTGCCACATTCGGTGCAGGTAAAAGGCGTCTCTCCTGTGTGAACTCGCTGATGAGAAACGAGGGAGATATTATGCTTGAAGGCTTTGCCACACTCAAGGCACCTGAAAGGCTTCTCTCCGGTGTGAATTCGGAAATGCTTAACGAGAAAGGCTTTTTGGCTGAAGCACATCCCACACTCGCTGCACTGAAAAGGCTTTTCGCCGGTGTGTATCATCCGGTGTCGATTTAGGTGGGACGTGCTAGTAAAAGTTTTGCCACAGTCACTGCATATGCAGTTCTTCTTCTCACTCTGAATGGCCTCTCCACTCTCAGTGTTCATGGGGGCGTCCCCAACAGTATAAGTCACCGGATGCCTGGGAAGACCCGAAGAGGTCTGGAGGATCGTCACATTGTCCGTCCTTAGCAAGGGTGTCTCAGCACAGCACAGCATTTGCTGTTGCAGCGTGGATGAACTGACACCTCCTTCTGCAGACAGGCTCTGCTCAAAGGGGGACGTTTCACTCTCCACTTTGATCCAACAACCTGAGCACAGAGAAATACTGATGAGTGGCATGTAGACTGTCGAGTGACAGACAGACAGACAGACAGACACACACACACACACACACACACACACACAGAGATCACTAATGGTGATCTGAGATTTCTCAAAGAACAAAGGAGCTAGTTTAGGCCGAACACGACCCATTGCCATGCTGAATTTGTCAAGATCTTACGTTCTAGGGACCTTAGGGGAAGCAAGAACACAAGCATGGAGTAAATCACAGGGAGGTGTGCTAGGAACCATAACACACTCTTTTCTCACCAATAGCTTTCTGCAAGCATCAGCTGCTGGAGATTCAAGACTAAGTGCAGAAGGCTGTCTAGACCTGTATGACATGGTAACTAAAGAACCAGGATTTAAGGACGGCCTTAGGTATAGGGCACAGTAGAATTTTAATCCAGCAACATGGCAGTTCTGGCTGGAATACAGATACTCCTATAGTACACAATTTTAATCCAAAACAATGTAGCTAAGGTTAATTGGTAGAAGAAGCAGCCATGTTGGAAAATGACTTCTAATTGAGGAGCAGACAAAGTGATGAATCAGAGAAAAATTTGACTAAATGAATCAGAGATAGGACAGGAAAGCGAGTCTACTTCAGAGCAGACAGAGTGTTCAGATGCAGTTTTTGCCAGAACAGTTTGACAGATTGCAGACAGAACAAGCTAGACACAGGTGAAGACAGAATGAGCCAGAGAATGAGGAGCCAGAAGATCAGAACAGATTGCTAGAGTTACTTTGAGGTCAGACAGAGTAATTCAGTCAGAAGACAAAAGAAGCCAGTTTGAACCAAAAAAGTTTGAGCCAGAACAGCTGAGTTGACCATCCTGCCAGAGTTCAGAAAGAGCTAGAACAGGTGAACTTATTCAACAGTAAGTCTCAGAGGCTGAAAACACTGTAGGCCTTGATTTGATTGTACAGAGGCTTCCAGAACTAGGCCTATGTTATCAGTTGGAGGCTTACTGTCTCTGAGATGACAATTACATCAGGCGAATAAAAGTTACACTTACAGTGCACACCAACACCCAATAAAGAAACAGCTGTGTTTCACAGAATTCCAAGGCAACAGGCAAAACATACAAGACTGACACCCAAGGGACAGTTCTGGCTCAGAATTAATAGCTTCGAACATCAAAAACCACCACACTCTATGTACCAATGCCATACCTGGAGTCAGGAATCTCAATGCAGGCACAGAGGGTTCTCCCCAAGACTCCAGCTGAGTGATGTCATGGATCCCAGAAGGTATAAGTCCTAAAGTACAGTGACACAAGAAATGAGAGTTCTTTACTAAGACTGGGTGAGGCAACTCATACAATCCATAAGAAAGAAGCCTAGTCAGAATAATCCTGGTAAGGGTGTCTTACAGAAAACAAAACAAACAAACAACAAACAAACAAAAAACAAACAAAATAATGAGCTCACCAGTGTCAGAATTCTTGCCACATTCAGACACAAGGCATGTCACCTAGAAGTACCTGAGCCATGAAGATGCCAAATAATACAGTGTCATCAGATCACAGAGAAGCCATCAGTGTTAGTACTCCTGACCCCAGGCCAGGGGTGGATGTGCAATCCATTAATCACAGTACTCAAAAGAAAAGACAGAGCAGGAAGATCTTGGCAAGTCAGAGGAGAGCCAGGTCTATATGGCAAGTCCAGCACAGTTAGGATTCTAAAGACAGACCTGGTCTCAAACTACACCCAAAAAATCCTAACCCCAAATTAATTCCTGTGTGCCTTTGCTGCAATTGAGAAAGACAGAGCTCTTGTGAAACAAGCCTTGGTTTTTAACCTGTATTTTATACTCCAAGACAGTGCAGGAAAGACTGGGTGTTCATAGGCCAGCTTTGAGAAGGACACAGCTCTCTAGACAAAAAGGAAAGCCTACAGAGACATGCTCTGACAGGACGGCAGGGTCTTACCCAGCGAGGACATGAGTGTTAAGATCTCTGTCATCACAGTCTGGTACAGGAGCCTTTGAGAGTCATCGAGCAGTGTCCATTCCTCCCAGGAGAAGTACACAGCCACATCCTCAAAGGACACGCCGCCCTGCACATGGGGAAAGTTGAATTTATATGAAGCCACCTTGTCAGGGACTCTTGGTATCTTTAAGTCATTCCCATTTAGCTCCTACCTCAGAGGGTACCAGGCCATGAACCTATTGATACCCAGTCTGTCCTCCAGGTCCCGCCAACCACTGTGCTCAGCACTCAGCAACAACAGGCATGTTGACATGGTGGCTTAGTTACTTTTCTCTTACTGTGAAGAGACACCATGACCAAGGCAACTTCTAGAACAACGACTTTATTGGGGCTTACACTTCAGAGGGTGAGTCTGTAACCTCCATGGCTGGGAGCATGGCTGCAGGCATACACAGCACTGGAACAGTAACTGAGAGCTTACATCCTGTTCCACAGGTACCAGGCAGAGAGAGTTAACTAGGAATGGCAAGAGCTCTTGAAACCACGCCTCAGTGACACACCTCCTCCAACAAGGCCATACCTCACTATTATCTCCAAAGTGTTCCACCAATGAGGACCAAATATTCAAGTCTATGAGCCTCTGGAGGGCGGTTCATTGAAACCATCACAGCTAGGGTCGATTCAAGCTGGAAGAATGTCCTTCCTTTCAATCTGTGAATTCATCCAGGCTCCTCCCAATCACCTGTCTCACACAGACCACATTTGGGTCACTGTTGTCCACTCTGTCCCTGGCACGAAGACCAGGAAGCCATCTACACATGACTTCAGGGCATACACATCAGTCTTCACACTGAGCCTCCATTTCCATCTCAGTATGCAGGCTCAGCCCTCAGCTGCTGTGCTACCCCAACTCCTACCTTCCACTAAAGCCAGCAGACCTCAGGCATTCCTGAGCATTTCCCAGCATCCCCGACCCATCTCACTTCCAGGCATCCTCCAATGTCATCGCTGGAACTTTAAGACCTCTGAATCTTCAGCCAATGGTTAGTTAGCATAAAGGGAAACCTGGCCATGTAATCCCTGCTGTGGATGTGGGGACCTCTCATTCTGAGCATGTGCCAGGGAAATCCAACGAATGGACAGAGAGAATCCCAAACACAGAGTCCCAGGACACCATAGTCCAGAGGTCACTTATGTCTTAAGTGAGGAGTGTGATTCTTGGGTACTGTCCACTTACCTCTTCCTGGTTGGCAGGTTTCACTGAATACTGGGAAACCTGTAGAAAAACAAGGCTGTGAGTAACAAGCAAGAGTGTTGGTGTCCCAAAGGTTCACCCAAGTCCCCTCTCATACATGTAGTCGGGTACCCCCAACAGCCCCCTGGGCTCCATCCCTTAATAGTGTCTCCTACTGGGTGACCTTGGACAAAGAATGAATCTCTTCTCTTTGTTACCTGAGGATAAGCATGGGAGCCTGTCTCATTTACTGTCTTATTGCCATGAAGAAACACCATGGTCAAGGCAACTCTTACAATATAAAAGAAAGCATTTAACTGGGCACTAGTTAACAGTTTCAGAGTGTTCGTCCAGGATGAGCATGATGGGGAGTAGAGAGGCATGGCACCAGGGCAATACCTAAAGACTTTACATTCTTATCTATAGGCAGCAGACATACACATACTCACACACACACACACACACACACACACTCACTGGATCAAGTGTGGACTTCTGAAACCTCAACAGTCACTTCCAGTCACACCCTTTCTCCAACAGTAACTTTCCTCCTAATCCTCCTAATTCTTCTCAAACAGTTCCACACCCTCATGACTAAGCATTCAAATATCTGAGCCTACGGGAACCATTTTCATTCAAACTAACACAACTTCCTACTCCAAAAAGAGAACAGTAGTCTCAAACTCAGTCCTATGTGTCAAGCTTTTGGTACAGGCTCTTCCTGTGCACATGACTAATGCTTCTGTCAAAAGTTTCACCAACCAGTACATATGTTTTCAAAATGTATGATTTTATTTACCCACATTGAGTTAAGACTGGTATTAGCCAGGCATGATGGTGCAGGCCTCTACACAACATTTGCGAGGCAGAAGCAGGTAGACTTTTGTACATCTGAGGCCAACATGGTATACATAGGCCAACTAGAGTCGCATAGTGAGTCTCAGTGTGGGGAGGGGAGATAGCTAATACAGTAGACTTGACTCAAATGCTGAATGCCATCACATAATGGTAAAATACTTTCAGTAATATCTAAAAATTAGTAATATTTTTAATTATAATTACTAATATAATTTAGTAATATTATTTGTTTAAAAATAAAATTTATTTATTTTTAATTTAACTTTTCTTCACATCTACACTTGGCTCACCAGCAAGTCCTGATGGCTGAGTTTTTAAAATTCACTGGAAAGACAGGAGAGGTTGTCTCTGTTTAGGGCACTTCCACCATTTACATTCAACCAGGGTTCAGCTGGCAGCCCTTACGCAAAGGAGACCCTAACCCACAAGAACGTAAATCTCTGTGAATTCGAGGCCAGCTTGGTGTAAACAGTGAGTTCGCGCCAAGATTAAAAATAAATAAATAAAATAAAATAAAAATAAAACAAAGGGTCCTTTAATCTCATCACTTGGGAGTTAGAGATAGAAGGATGTCTTTGAATTTGAAGACAGCCTGGGGGGGGGGGGGGAAGCCCACCAGGTCCCCTGTCTGGGGAGGGGGGTGCGGAGGAGGAGGAAAGGACGGAGATAGGAAGAGGGGGAGACAGAATAAAAATACTCCATCAAAGATCTGAACATTTTCACCACCACTACCACTGTCACCACCACCCACCCCACAACTCCCACCCCCTCCACCCCCACCCCACAACCCCTCCAACCCCGCTATGGCTCACATTCCAACTCAAATATGAGTCCACAGGATTTACCCAAGGATTCACAGGTCTCTGCCTACACTCAAATTACCCCCACTCCACGCTAGGAAATCTGAATAGATTGATTCTCTCCTCTGTTCAAATCTTCCTGGACACCAGAGTCTCTATAAACAAAAGTCAGCTCCTTAGGTGCACTGAGCCCTTTCCCTCATCTAACGCCAGCAGAGGTCACCCCCGGGCTCTGTCTCCGACCTTAGGCCCGCTCACAAGCCTGGGGAGGTACAGTCCACCAGAGGCTGTGAGTCAGAGGGGATGGCTCTACCGATCTAGCACACAGATGTCAAAAAACCATAATCTCATCCACCGGTGCCCTACAGTCGGGGACATGAGGGTCTGCCCTGTTGGCTCCTGACCCAGATCTCAGCGCTCCAGAACTCAGGTAGGTGGGCGATCGCTAGGCACTCACCTGGGGCAGGGCTCCACCCGCAGCCTCCACAATCACCATTGGGCTCCAGAGGATGGTGGGGCCCTGGGACGCGGCCATCCTCACTCGAAGCCTGGATCAGATCACACGGGTTGTCGCAAACCTCAGATTCGTCTCCGTGACGGAGAAAAAAACGTTTCAACTCTCCGGTTTCCCTGCCATGACCAATACTGATAAAACCAGTTTTCTCTGAACCAGACTGACAGATCCAGAAAGTTTCAAAGAGCCTCCTGCACGCAAAGCCGAAAGTCCCGCCCAGCGTCATTTTGTCGTCACCAAAACGCCCATTTTCATTGGCTATTCTTGGTGCAATGTCTTCTGGACAATGTAGTTCAGATAGGACCAAGAACTAGGAAGTAGACCTTCCCCCAACCCCAACCTCTCAGAGCAGGACACTCAGTCTGTTTAGGAGATCGTTGTGATTATAGATGTGCCAATATGTCCTTGAGCTACAAAGGCCGGGCTTGCTGACCCACTCCTAAATTACAGAACTGCCAGCAGAGGCAAGTAGATGTCTGGGATTAGAAACTAGCCAGTCACAGTGAGTTCCAGACCAGACTGGAAACGTGGGGGTGAGTTACAGATTGAACACGACCCTGAGCCTGGCCCTGTGAGAAGAGGAGACCGACCGGAAAAGAGGAAGGGGAGCCGCCAACCAAGAGTGGCGGCCTGAGCCAAGATATTGTCATAGGCAAAAGTGGCTTCAGAGGGAATGAGCAGCAGCTTCCTGGGGAAAGGGAGCACTGGAGCCTATGTAACCTTGATCTGGTCTGCAAGGAGTCCTGTTAACGCCTTACACACTGCTTCTCCACAGTCTATCTCTGCAACTGCCCTGGTATCCATGGCGTAGTTGTCTGAACTTCATTAACCAAAACAGACTGTGTGCAGAAAGGCGGGAAGATTGTGGGAGGTATTGGTATATACCTTTAATCCCAGTGGATATCTGCGTTTGTGGCTAGCTTGGTCTACAATCTAGTGCACCCAAGGCTATTGAAAGAAAAATAGAGATGAAAGGCTTTCCCCTGAAGCCTAGACAGGTCTGAAGTCTGCACCACCACGGTGCAACTGGTTCTAAGCCTTGGGTAGCACCGCACCTATTCATGTGCCTCTCTGGGCAGCCCTGTCTTCTGGGCTAGGGACTCTGGAAGGGGTGGCAGGTGATACCTGGCTTACCAGATTGTTACAGCACCCTGAGGTGTGGGTCCTAAGCCCAGGCAGAGGGCTGATGTCCCTGATAGTGATCCAATTTTACGGTTCCGTTTTTACTTATTAATTTTACTCTTTTAAAGATTGCGTTTGCGGCCCTGTGGCAGTGACACACGTGGCAGACAGATGATGAAGTTCAAAGCCAGCCTGGCCTACAGAGTGAGTTTCAGGAGAGCCAGGGCTATACAGAGAAACCCTGTCTCGGAAAAAAAACTAAAGAGACAGACAGAGACAGAGACAGACAGACAGACAGACAGACAGACAGACAGAGAGAGATGTGGCAAGCACCAATGCAAAATGATCTAGTTCTACACTGACTTTGTAATGAAGACAATAAATTCATGAGGTTTTCCTCACTAAAACAAAACAAAAAAAAGTTTTGTGTGTGTGTGTGTACGTGTGTGTGTAATTTCAGGGTGCTTGTGGTAAAGATGTGAGCTACCACACCTAGCTTAGTCATCTCATTCTCTCTTTCTTTCTTTCTTTCTTTCTTTCTTTCTTTCTTTCTTTCTTTCTTTTTTTTCCTCTGTCTCCAGAATTCTGGGATTAAAGGTGTGTACCACCACACCCAAACCCAGCTGCTCTTGCTGCTCTTCCAAAGGATCCAGGTTCAGTTTCCACTTGGGGCACACACCATTTGTCACTCTTATTCCATGGCATCCGATACCTTTTTCTGACCTCCACAGAACCTCTATGTATGTGTTGCTTGTGCATATATGCAAACTGACACTTGTATATATAAAATAAAAATAAATTTTAAAATATGAATTTTGTCTGTTTTTTTTTTTAAGTTGGGCTTTGACTATTTATCCTTTTTGATTTGCTTAATATTTATACCCATAAAGACACAGGAATCAGGAGCTGAAGTAAAAACCTGCTAGCTTAGTGAGGTAACTTTATTTTCTTAACTGTATACAAAATATCCATTTTAAAGCCTAATTTTACAACTAAACTGCTGGCTCTTTAAACATCTCATTCTATCTGTGTCATTCTACCGAGCTAGTCTTCCTTTCTCTTGAGCTTCTCCAAACCCAAGAGGATTCCTTAGCTGTCTTTCCCAGAATACTTTCTCACCTGTGTCCTGCCAGCTGCTTCTCTGGTTCCTGCAAGCCCAAAGAGATTCCTATCTCTTACTTGGAACTTCTTCCATGAATGCTCTTCTATGCCAAAAGAGAGAGCAAGAGACCTCCCAAAAAGTCCAATTTCTAGCAGTCTCCTCCACTATACCTTTTGATAGGCTGAGCCATGTCAACATTATAGTGGGGTGCTCCAAGCCAAGTCAGTAGAGCCAAACCATTTCACCTTTAAGGCCATCCAGCTGACTTTGGCTTGGGTCATAGAGCAAAGAACACAAAACCCCTCCAAAACCAATTTTTATTTTTAGCATTCTTGTCTATGGAAGCTTTTAGAGGCACGCTTAAACTGCATCGATTTAGGACACACCTTACTGCACCTGGCATCTATTTAAGCCTTTTATATTTTCTTAATAAGTAGGTTTTCCATGTCCAGGAATCAAACATCCTGTAACGGGGCTTCAGGGAAATGGAACGAGAGGAGGACCTGGAGAGTAGGACTTCCTCCCCTGGTGTGGACTCCCATGCTCTATAGTTCTGATTGGTGGATTCGGGAGTGAATATGTCTAGAGTAGGAGGACTCTGGACCTAGCTATTGGTGGTATAGCAGTCCTTCACAGCCTTCACTGTGGAAAAAGGGAAGACCAGCCAAGCAGTTAGAACAGCTGACTTGTGCCTTCTCAGTTTTACACAGAGGAGGGACAGCCCCATACCTCTATGGAGGGACCCTGCTGCCCAGGGTTATATTCACCCTGCACTCTCCCAGAAGGGTCTGCCTCTGGCTATTCTTTCCCTCTTATCTACAATAAACCTTTTCTACCACCAGACCTAGGAGCGATCATGTCCCTTTCTTTTTATTTCTTCTTTCCTTTCACTTACCAAGGACATGACACATAAGAGTGAGTTTGACACACTAGTACTCCTTTTAGTGGAGAGGTACTGTTTTTTAAATCCCCATATTCCAGAGGATAGCATGGAAGAATTTGTTGCCTTATCCAAACATACACAGTAAGAGGAGGCCTCACCAAGGACTGAGGACAATATGATAGCTATACAAGCCTGCACGTATGAAGGAGGGTCTGGGTGCTCTTTGGTTATTCAGAGCCTTGTTTTACCATAGGTTCCTTTTAATGCAAAGACACTATAGTGGTTTGAATAAGTTTGCCCCCCACCATAGACTTATGTCTTATGTTTGAATGCTTGTCTTATATTTGAATGCTTAGCCCACACTGAGTGACACTATCAGGAGGCATGTTCTTGTTAGAGTAGGTGTGGCATTGTTGGCAAAAATGTGGAACTGTGGGGGTTGGCATTGAGAGCCTATGCTCAAACTACACTGCAGTACAGAAGAGACCCTCTTCCTAGCTGCCTGAAGAAGACACTCTCCTGCTGCTGCCTTTGCATCAAAATGTGGCAATCTCAGCTCTACCGGCACCCTGTCTGCCTGGATGCTGCCATTCTCCCCACTGGGATGATAATGGACTGAACCTCTGAAAGTGTGTAAAACAGCCTGGATTAATTGTTTTCTGTTTATAAGAGTTTTCTTGGTCACGGTGTCTCTTCACAGGAATGAAATCCCTAAGTAAGGCAGAAGGCCCCATGTAATATAGCTGGTTGAAAGGAGCGACTCTCTATGTTCAACCTCAAGCTTTGACGGAATCCATTTGTCCTCTTGCCTTTCACTGCTCCATGCCAAACACAATGGTCAGTGAGACCTTAAGCAGAAATTGAGTGGTCCTAGAGCCTGGAAGTTAGGTAAGTAGGAAAACCTTAGTGTCTATTTAGCAACCATGATGCTTGGGATTTGAATCCCAGCACCTACATAACATACCTGGCTTCATCTAAACCTCTGTTACTCCAGTTCTGAAGGATCTGAAACCTTATTCTATCTCCCATTATGCACAAACTCAGAGGTACAAACATGTGGACATCTACCCACGTACCAGCTCTTTTATAAATCAAAAGGCAAAATATTTTAAGAATATTCCAACATAATGATGATGTCAAAATCTACCTAGAGCGGCTGAATGTAGAACTCAGTTGATAGAATGCTTGCCTATAGTGTATACAGCTTGCTTGGACTTTGAGCTCTATCAACACCAACCCTAAATAGTGACCCACGCACTCAAGAAGTAGAGGCAAATGCATCAGAAGTTTAAGGTCATCCTTAGCTACATAGCAAGTTTGATTGACACAAGGCTAACTATTACCTTGTCTAAAAACAATGCCAATTAAACACACACATAGAAAATCTAAAGGGGTAGATTAAGAGTTCAAGGGTATTGAGAGCATGAAGGCCCTAGTGTCTGTAGATTTACAAGGAACTCAAGAATATTGAGCACCTAGGATTGTTCTTTCAAAGGGAAGGACATATAACCTGTTTCTCCAGAAAGCTGGGAACTGAACATAATTGATAGCCTAGAGATCTTAGTTATCTATTGGGCCAGGAAACATTAAGCTCCTACAACCAGGACTGGATGTAGCTAGTAATCTGAATAACCCTTACAAATAGGGGCTCCACTGGAGTCCCCCAACCAGGACCAGAGGTAATTAATAGCCCAAATGACCTCTACATTTGTATCTATATGGCCTCGCCAAAACCTTCCCTAAGCCCTAAAGCTAGTACAGGCCCTAAAACTCATCTTGGAAGAAATAATGTGGACCCTGAGTCAAGCTCCAGTATAATTATACTTTTGTGTACATTGGGGATTGAATCATACCAGAAGAATGTATTTCCAAATTATAGTGTTTAAATTTATTGGGAATGTGTCTGCCCCTCAGAAGACCCCCCACAGTCTGTAGGCCTTCCAGGAGATCTGTTATACCCAAGGCAACATATAAGGGACCATCCCAAATAACCACAGCTGCTGGTATCTCTGAGGAGCACATTGGACTCAGGACTTAGCCCCTCCTCTCGAACTCTACCTCCCTTCTGGCCCATACCTTCCACCAGGGCAGATCATCAGCATGTGTGCTCCTCTGAA